TTGAGCCTAGTATTTTAGACTTTAAATAAATCAGAATAATACCTCTTAGGTTATCATAGAATGATTTTGACACATTACCATAAAACCAGAATTATTATTATTATTCGCATTACAAAGTTTACTTTCAAAAATTTATCAATTATAATGTTACCAACCACTAATCTAAAATAACTAATTTAAATTGACCTCAGAATATCGGATCTGAACTTGTTCAAATGTAAATGAATCTCATATTTGCCTATCATCAAATCAATTAATAAAGCAATGATAACAATGAAAAGGGCAGCTAATAAAATAAATATATATATTAGTAAAGAGATTGTAATGATTCAAAGTAAACGCTCTGTTCTACTGTAATAAGCTATTCACTCAAATATTCTTATACAGATATGGATGAACATATATAATAAAAAAGTTAACGTCAACTAAGTTTGACCGCTTATTTAATCATAACTGCATATAGTTGAAAAGATTCAAAATGAATCGAATAAACTATTCAGTGGTCTCGAGTTATTATCAACCTTCCTGCTTATTTTACCTCTATATAAAATGCGATTCAAACTAGTAGATTGTTGTTATATAAAAGTATTTTGAATGGATAAAATGATAGAAGGAATACTGACACATGAATAATATGGTGTGATATAATGTGAATATGAGTAATCAGCAGTCATGAGTGTAATTATACTGGAGGACTACAAAGACTGTTCATGTACTCATAATTGTGTCAATCAAATGGCATACTGACTTATATACAGAAGTATGAGATAAAACAAACGTGGTTCGAAATTAAACAACACACAATCAATTAACATCAAATAATATCCATTGATTTTAAGATTCCCAACATCAGTCATGTTTCTTTACGTCATGATGAATAGATATTTGACGAGAAACAAAGGGTGCCATTTAAGAAGTATATAATCAAATATAACTACCAACTCAAAGATATATAAGACAATAACTACAAATAAACGACATTATACACATTTACAAGAACTGCACATACCTGAATGATTGTTTCATTTCCCAGATTTGTCATATTACCTACTAATGACATTTTCCACTGACTAGGTTGAATTATTTGAAAACTATGAGGAGTTGATGAACATAATAATATGTTAATAGACACCTTCATTAGAACAAATTTAAATGTTAATTAGTAATCTATATAATTACTGCATTACATTTCTTTGTGTTTAGAAAATACAATAAGTTTAGTAATGGTTAGTAAGTTTCTCGTCAAGTGGGAAAATATTTTAATTGTATAGAATGATACGTTAATTACAACCTATCAAGATATATAGATAGATCATATCACACACAGTAATAATGATAGATATGCATTACCACAAAATATATATGTGATACAGTCAATCAACATGCATCAATTAGTATTAATTGTAAATTTTCAATATTCAAAGTAGATAAGTTTCCTATCAATGCAAACTAAATTTACTAGTTGAAAAACAGTAGCAATTAAAATTGAAATAATACAACATTTATTTTTTGAAATGACATCAAAATCATAAGTTCTAAGATAAACAATCTGATTTTTTGTTTAAACAAATAATATGATTAATCATATTCGTTTATTCACTCGTCAATCTCAGTGAAACAAAAAGCATGAGATAATAGAATCACGAGGACTCATCATCAAAATCACCACTAGATACGACAGATCTTTTCACAGTTTTCTTTGTCTCAGAACTTGAACCACTGTCACTGTCACTATCATCATCAATAATAGTTTTCTTATTTGTCCTTTTGCGTGTTTCTGTGGAAGATTCATCTTCAACTGGGACTTCTTTGATCTCTCTTGTTTTGACAATTCTCTTGCGTTGCGTTGTTTCTTTAACATCCTCTTGACCTGGATCTATGATTACTTCTCTTTTAACAGTTCTTGAACTTTCACTACCACCATCTATTTCTCCACGGATCTTACCTCCATCTATTTTGGAAGTGATTATACCACGAGGTAAGCGACCTAATCGTCTTGCTATTAAAAGATTGCGTACATCTCGATAGCCGTCACGACCAATAATTAAACCTCTTTTGATTCCTGCTCCACTACCAAGAACTATACCTCCTTTGATTCCTGCTCCACTACCAAGACCTAAACCTGCTTTAATTCCTGCTCCACTACCAAGACCAAGACCAGCTTGGATTCCTGCTCCACTACCAAGACCTAGACCTGCTTGGATTCCTGCTCCACTACCAAGACCTAGACCTGCTTTGATTCCTGCTCCACTACCAAGACCTAGACCTGCTTTGATTCCTGCTCCACTACCAAGATCTAGACCTGCTTTGATACCCGCGTCACCACCAACTCCTGTGCCTTCAGAGGCGGCATCTAGAAATACAAAATCATAATGAATACGATGATTAATGCCACTTGAGTAATGTGTTGAAGTGAAAAAATAAAAATAAACAAGTTAATTAATTAGGCTTTCTTTTCACTTACCTCCAGTTTGAAAGAACAGACATGTCGAGGAAATCGTTATGAATAATATCTATTAAAAATTATCATGAAAAAGAGAGTATTTATGAATTAAAATGAAATAATCACACTAACAGATGTGAGAGTCATTAGCTATGTTCTCAGAAAACCTGGATTGTGTATAAACATTTATGAGAGGCTTAGAGTACATTTATACTTTTTCTTCATATATTTCACGAGGTTACAATTGATTTATTTACTAACTAGATATGTCACAATGTACAATCAAGATTATCGTAAAATGCAGGGAAAAATGATAATGACTAGGTTCTATAACCTCATTTTTTCATATTAAATGTAAATTATTTTTCTATGTGACAAATGCCATTATTTGATCAGTTTGTCCTTTTATTGAAATGATCGATTTTATTGTCATACTGCATAACATATGTCACTTGTACAGAATGCATTTTATTTTTAAATCACTGTATCTCTAAAGAAGTAGATCCAGCAAGACAATCTTCTATGAACTATTTCATTTTGTTTAATTTCCACCATTACATGATATCAATTTAACTGTTGCAAACACCCGACAGATATTTTGTCTCAGTTTGAGACTCCTTAACAATATACACTAGGTTTGATCCTGTTAGAAACAGATGTATCATGAGAATAAGTTCTTCTTAAACAGTTATTGCATTAAACCAGTGACATATGTTATTCAGTATGACAATAAAATCGATCATTTCAATAAAAGGACAAACTGATCAAATAATGGCATTTGTCACATAGAAAAATAATTTACATTTAATATGAAAAAATGAGGTTATAGAACCTAGTCATTATCATTTTTCCCTGCATTTTACGATAATCTTGATTGTACATTGTGACATATCTAGTTAGTAAATAAATCAATTGTAACCTCGTGAAATATATGAAGAAAAAGTATAAATGTACTCTAAGCCTCTCATAAATGTTTATACACAATCCAGGTTTTCTGAGAACATAGCTAATGACTCTCACATCTGTTAGTGTGATTATTTCATTTTAATTCATAAATACTCTCTTTTTCATGATAATTTTTAATAGATATTATTCATAACGATTTCCTCGACATGTCTGTTCTTTCAAACTGGAGGTAAGTGAAAAGAAAGCCTAATTAATTAACTTGTTTATTTTTATTTTTTCACTTCAACACATTACTCAAGTGGCATTAATCATCGTATTCATTATGATTTTGTATTTCTAGATGCCGCCTCTGAAGGCACAGGAGTTGGTGGTGACGCGGGTATCAAAGCAGGTCTAGATCTTGGTAGTGGAGCAGGAATCAAAGCAGGTCTAGGTCTTGGTAGTGGAGCAGGAATCAAAGCAGGTCTAGGTCTTGGTAGTGGAGCAGGAATCCAAGCAGGTCTAGGTCTTGGTAGTGGAGCAGGAATCCAAGCTGGTCTTGGTCTTGGTAGTGGAGCAGGAATTAAAGCAGGTTTAGGTCTTGGTAGTGGAGCAGGAATCAAAGGAGGTATAGTTCTTGGTAGTGGAGCAGGAATCAAAAGAGGTTTAATTATTGGTCGTGACGGCTATCGAGATGTACGCAATCTTTTAATAGCAAGACGATTAGGTCGCTTACCTCGTGGTATAATCACTTCCAAAATAGATGGAGGTAAGATCCGTGGAGAAATAGATGGTGGTAGTGAAAGTTCAAGAACTGTTAAAAGAGAAGTAATCATAGATCCAGGTCAAGAGGATGTTAAAGAAACAACGCAACGCAAGAGAATTGTCAAAACAAGAGAGATCAAAGAAGTCCCAGTTGAAGATGAATCTTCCACAGAAACACGCAAAAGGACAAATAAGAAAACTATTATTGATGATGATAGTGACAGTGACAGTGGTTCAAGTTCTGAGACAAAGAAAACTGTGAAAAGATCTGTCGTATCTAGTGGTGATTTTGATGATGAGTCCTCGTGATTCTATTATCTCATGCTTTTTGTTTCACTGAGATTGACGAGTGAATAAACGAATATGATTAATCATATTATTTGTTTAAACAAAAAATCAGATTGTTTATCTTAGAACTTATGATTTTGATGTCATTTCAAAAAATAAATGTTGTATTATTTCAATTTTAATTGCTACTGTTTTTCAACTAGTAAATTTAGTTTGCATTGATAGGAAACTTATCTACTTTGAATATTGAAAATTTACAATTAATACTAATTGATGCATGTTGATTGACTGTATCACATATATATTTTGTGGTAATGCATATCTATCATTATTACTGTGTGTGATATGATCTATCTATATATCTTGATAGGTTGTAATTAACGTATCATTCTATACAATTAAAATATTTTCCCACTTGACGAGAAACTTACTAACCATTACTAAACTTATTGTATTTTCTAAACACAAAGAAATGTAATGCAGTAATTATATAGATTACTAATTAACATTTAAATTTGTTCTAATGAAGGTGTCTATTAACATATTATTATGTTCATCAACTCCTCATAGTTTTCAAATAATTCAACCTAGTCAGTGGAAAATGTCATTAGTAGGTAATATGACAAATCTGGGAAATGAAACAATCATTCAGGTATGTGCAGTTCTTGTAAATGTGTATAATGTCGTTTATTTGTAGTTATTGTCTTATATATCTTTGAGTTGGTAGTTATATTTGATTATATACTTCTTAAATGGCACCCTTTGTTTCTCGTCAAATATCTATTCATCATGACGTAAAGAAACATGACTGATGTTGGGAATCTTAAAATCAATGGATATTATTTGATGTTAATTGATTGTGTGTTGTTTAATTTCGAACCACGTTTGTTTTATCTCATACTTCTGTATATAAGTCAGTATGCCATTTGATTGACACAATTATGAGTACATGAACAGTCTTTGTAGTCCTCCAGTATAATTACACTCATGACTGCTGATTACTCATATTCACATTATATCACACCATATTATTCATGTGTCAGTATTCCTTCTATCATTTTATCCATTCAAAATACTTTTATATAACAACAATCTACTAGTTTGAATCGCATTTTATATAGAGGTAAAATAAGCAGGAAGGTTGATAATAACTCGAGACCACTGAATAGTTTATTCGATTCATTTTGAATCTTTTCAACTATATGCAGTTATGATTAAATAAGCGGTCAAACTTAGTTGACGTTAACTTTTTTATTATATATGTTCATCCATATCTGTATAAGAATATTTGAGTGAATAGCTTATTACAGTAGAACAGAGCGTTTACTTTGAATCATTACAATCTCTTTACTAATATATATTTAATCTACTATTTGTGTTTGTTTTCGTGGATTTTTTCACGCATTATATTGCTTTGTCTTTACAAGCTTTTTAACCTTCACATCGTTCAAAACTAATAACCAGTGTATATTTCATTATGCCGAATTTGATTGGTGTTAATAAATCTGCTGGCTTGTTATCCTGCCAGCAAAGGCAATCCACTTAGAATACCACATTCAGTCTGGTCAACATACACAAATTCTGTTATCATTATGCGCTTGCATCAACTCACATGCTGGCATATATCATACAACTATCAATATATTACACGGAGAAAACTATATTTAACTTAAATAACAAGCCTGTAATATGTCAAGACTAATTTCTATCCTTTCATTGGTAAATTAACCCAAATTATTTATCTAACTAATTAAAAATTTATTGCCATGATGAGGCTATAAATTCATTATGATCATGAAACTTCGGGAATTCATTTTTGCATTTTACTTCAAGAATATAGCACTTCTGTTGTTAAGATGCCACTGAGTTTATTTAAATTTATTAAGATGATATCTTGGTATTAATCTTACAAACTACTGGACGCACTAATATTGCATGGTTGTATACTAGATCTTAGTACTTAAGCTAAAGATAAGTCAATGAACACAACAAGATTAATCTTTTAAAGGGTGGAAATAAAAAGAGCTGACCTGATTACATGGATTAAATTGATTTAAGATATATTCATTTATCGCAAACTTAGACAGTATTCCTTGTCTACATTCATATTATATTATACACAATCAATATGAATAATTAAAAATATTACCCGTTTACTGATAAACCACTTATATATTAACTTCAATATGCTCTTTAAGATGTTAAACAAACTTTTTACATTGGATACTTACTCTTATAAAGTGCAAATTATTTCTGTATGTTTGAAAAACAATTGATTCTTAGCAGTTAAGACGCTTATACTTGTTTGTCTCAAAAATAAAGTTATTGAAAAGATTCATTTAATGATATATTTACTTTATTATTACGGACTATTATAAGTATAAACGTATCATACATTTCTGGTTACGTTGAACAGATAGACATTAGAAGTTTCACGAATTAATCACCCAGTTCAGATAATTCAACAAATTACAAGGTATTATGAGTCAATTAGGATTTCGATGATAATTAAAGAATCATTAAGTTTCAACAACCATCTAGATAGTATCAAAATGAGAAGAATTCAGAATAGATAAAAAACTAGATTTGATTGCGATTGTATCGGCTCATTACTTATACCGTACGTCAATTGAGAGTTCCAAAATGAAAGTGCTTGTTTTTCAGAAACAGATCATAGACAATGTACAGAGTGATTACTTTCAATGTGTGAATTACATGTTCTTAAATGAACATATTCGTGTCACACATACTTACGGGTTAATTGTTTATCAGCTTCTGTACTAATAAAATCAGTAATATATTTGTGACTGAACAGTTATCACTTTAATGAATATAAACTACAGATAAGTTGAAAGAACTTTACTGGATTTTTCTGTGTTTTTCTATATTATTGGAATATTATCTGACAAGGCTTGAGGGGGAATGATAGCGCCTGGATGGAGATAAATTATTGATAATCACAGTTATATTTCTCATATATTCAAAATCTAATAATCAGTGACATTTCATCTTTCATTGAAATATGATTTATAAAAATATTCCATTAGGCTATAACTATTAAAACCAAACAAATTTTATACTATTAGTTTCAATAAAAAATCACTTAAAATAATCAAATCACAAATATCTCCAGATTGTAACAAACATACATAATTTTGTTACTTGACCTGTAAAACCACGTAACATGTAACGCGCTACTTTTACAATCAATAATAATCACTAAATTATTTAGAAATTTCACATAATCACTTTCACAAATAAATAAAGGCAGGATATTGTGAAAATATTCATTATTTATACATCAAAGAATGTGCCATTAATAAACAGAATGTCAAACGTTGAAAAAAAGTACATAACTTTAAAAACTTATGACTTGAGATTTAGGTAACGAAAGGTTCGAAAGAGAAGATAGAATCCGGAATAGTTCCTCCATCATCTGGATTATTACCAGCTGAATGTAATTCAGAGTTTCCTATGTCTGACTGTGTATTTGTATTATCGTCACGTGCACAGCATGCAGCTTCTAAAAAAGTTATGACAATAAGATCATAGCAATATTAAACATATTCTCATGTAATATTAGAAGAAATGTTTAAAATGAAAATAAATGGTTTTCAGTACTCAAAGTATGATGAAAAACTACTTAGCTACTCAACATAAATTTTTTTAAAATTTCTTCTGATCTTCAAATAATTAGGGATGCCACAAACAAATTTACATAAGTTGCAATATACGCAGTATTACATGAATTCAATTACCTTGAGAATTTAAATGAATAGAGATCAAAAGAATTAGTAAGAGTGTTTTCACTTCACTCCCCATGTTAGTTCGTCCTTTACGATTCTAAGCACAATAAAACCGTGTGATTTATATACTCCTGAAACATTATTTACCAACAAATAACTTCAATCGTTTATAGAACAACTTGCAGACGATAATTATTAACAGATTTAATTAAATTTCATATCGATTCGAAGTAATTAATTAGCGGTAAACATAACATAATCAACTGATTTCTTTTATTTAAGAAATAAACATTTACTTTTATTTTTATTAAAAATAATAGAGAACATGTTCGACACTTGCAATTGCCCATGTTTAGTAAACATTGCTTCAACATATAATTTTCTTTAATTATGATTAAACTGAATAATGAAGAAAACCTAACCACTCCTCTAGACAGAATGTTACACATGTACAAACATATAAAACTTATTAGCTATAGATTGTCGAATATATTAACTTTCTATTTCATGAACAATAATTGTTGAAAGTTTCACTTTCTTTTTTATTTTAATTAAAGGTGAACTTGTCATTGAGTTTTATTATATATAACTTGAACAAATTAAAATTCTAGAGACAAAAACAGAGGTATGAAAATAAATGACGATAGAAATTTGTAAGGAAAAATATTATGAAATGTACATGCACTTATATGTAGGATAAATAATGTTAATAATAGATATGGATTAAAATACAATTAATAAATTGTATTGTGGCACTTGTACGAACTAATAATTCTTTTGTACTTGGTCACCCGTTGATTACGAATTCCAGATATCATTCGTTCATTTGTGCTCATCTAGTTCTACCTGGCTTAAATTCCACTATTTCGGGAATTCTTAGTTAGTATATTAATTTGAATACTTTTAATTATCATATGCGTGTATCTCATCACTTACAAATATATCATCATCTCTGTTATTTACTAGTGTATCGAACAAAATCTCAGGCACGTTGAATCATTTTATTGTTTTATTGAAAATCGAATCTTCTTTGTAAAATATGTAAATAATACATTAACTATATAATTTACATATCTTCCTTGATTTGTTCTTTACATAGTTCACCACACTTTTAATCCTGTTGCTATTTTAAATGCCCCCTATTTCCCCTTCTATTCTCTTTATTTCAATCTTCTTCTGGTAAGTACTGCACTTTTAATTACTTACATCTTTAAGTTGATAACATTCACTTGTAGATCCTTATTGATTTATTCGCTCAATAAAGTTTCACAGTTAATATGACCCAAGTATTCTTACTTCATCCTACTCAACAATATTTTTTATATGGCGTTTGAAATGACATTATTTTTATACGTGTACACTATCCTTCTTCCATAGTTTAAGAAAAAAACGAGAATCTCCTTACTAATTAACTTTAAACCAAATTTACCTGCTACTTCTCACATTTTTATTGGATTTATATCTAGGACTACGTTTATCATTATATTTATCGTACAATGACATACAAATAAATCCTAATTTTTTCATTTATTCTGTGTATTATAATTTCTCTCAACTAAATTATACTTCTATCATCGTTCACTCATTGTAAATGAATTGTATTTTTTAGATTGAATACTAATACCACCAGTATGATGTGCCCTACTTATGCGGACAGATAAGAACAGTATGTAGCAGGAATTGGAAGTGCAGCGCTTACTGGATGGAGAGTAAAACAAGGAGAATAGGAGAGAAAATAAAGGGCATTTGAAATAGAAACAGGATTGAAAGTATGGTGAACTATTTAAAGAACAAATCAAGGAAAATACGCAAATTATGTATTTAATGGATGATTTTCGTATTTTACAAGGAATCCGTGTGATATTTTGGGAGGCAATCAGTTGGTTATTTCCACCAAGTTCTGTTCATTATTCCACCACCAAAATATAAAAGTATTTATGAACAAGTGTTCACACAAGGTGTTTAGTGTCCGCTGACCAGGTGCCATAAGCAACAGCCTACTGTGGGAACAAACCGAATTCCAGCTACACAGGAAATTAGGAGAACAGTCTGGAGATGGCTAGAACATACACTACAGAAGTCAACAAACTGCACCACGAAGCAAGCCACGACCTGGAATCCATAACGCAAATAGAAAGGTGAAGGGCCAAAAAAACACATTGCTCAGGGAACCGGAAGCATGCATCAAAAGAGTGAAAAGGACTTTGAAACAAATGGAAAGTAGAGTCCAGAACAGAGTTGGTTTGAGTATCCTGGATAGTTGCGTCCAACCTATCTGTTTTATTCCATACTTCCCGTGAAATGACGAGGTCTTCATAATCCAGTCGACCATCAGCAGCAAAAGAGGAGACAATAAGCAGTCTCATCTGAATCCAGTCCTCACTTGGAATGCGTTTTTTAGTTTTCCTCCGTGCACAACTTTTCAGTGTAGCCCGTCGTATAAATTCTATTTGATATTGAAGATTTTTTCAGGTTAACGATAGTGTCAAATATGGTTCCATAATGTTGTCCCATCGGGACTGTTAAACGTCTCATAGTCAATGAAGTTGATGTATAGTGATGAATTTCATTTAGTTGATTGTTCAAAATTATCTTTAGTGTCACGATTTGGTTCTCCATGACCGATTTTCACGACATCCAACTTGTTAATCTGAAAGTTGGGCGTCTACTGAATCCTTCATTCTGTTCAGCAACACTCTGTTGAAATCATTCGCTGATACTGACAGTAGTGTGATGCCTCTGTAGTTCTCACATTTTCTCAGATCTCCATTCTTTGGCATCTTGATGAGGTTTCTTTGTTTCCAGTCTGTCGCTAGCATTTGTTCTCCCTCCCAAATCTCCCTCCATAGAGTGTGAAGCACGTTTGCAGTTATTTCTATGTGCGACTTTAGTGGTTCAGCTGGTATATTTTCAGGTTCTGTTGATTTCCCGTTCTTCATTTGTCTGATGGCCGATCACTCTGATATCTTCCGTCGTTGTTGGAGTGACATCTATAGGAAGGTCTATGTGTGCTACTTCGATGTCCGGTGGGTCCAATGGAGCTGATCTGTTCCAAGGTTCTTCGAATTATTCCACCTATCTTCTCTTCTATTATTGAATCTCGATGATTGTCATGCCTTAACTGTCCTTGACCGGTCTGTCTCGTTTACTAGATTTGCCCGCTGGTTTCTCCGTTGTTTCATATAGCTGTCTCATATTCCCTTCTCTTGCATCTGTTTCCTCTGTCGTTGCTATGTGCTACACGTATTTCTGCTTGTCAGCACTAATGCTTCTCTTCACTTGCTTGTTTGATTCTCTGTATTCAGCATGTGCCTTGAATTATCCTGTACTTTTTGGTCTGTTACTACTTACTTGCTTCCTTTCTTCAATCTTGTCCAGAATTTCCATAGAAATCCATTCATTATTATTATTATTATTATTATTATTATTATTATTATTATGATGCTTGTTACGTCCCAGCAACTCCTGACACGTTAAAGTTAATGCTTCTTTGATCCCTTTCCACTTGTCCTCCATAGTAGTTTCCTCTAATTTTTGTGGATCCTGTAAGGCTTGGAACCTGTTGTTGAGAGTTATCTTGAATCGGTTGAGTTTGTTAGTATCTCGTGGAGAGGCTGTATTGAACCTTTGTACTGCCATCAACCCAGTTGTCCAGTGTTTATTTAGCCTCAGTTTCATCTTGGCCACAACCTGGTAGTGATATGAAGCTATGTCAGCTTCTCTCCTGATTCTCACGACTTCTATTATCCTTCTGAGTTTTAGTGATACAAATATGATTATCTGGTTCTCCGTGGTGTGATGCGGTGAGACCCATTTAAACTTGTGTGTGGGTTTGTGTGGGAATATTGTGCCACCTATAACCAATTTGTTGAATGCACATAGATTCTCAAATATCACGCCATTCTGGTTCGTTTCTCCTAGTCAGTCCATTTCGCCCCATGATATCTTCATATCCGGTGATGTCCATTCCGATTTTGGCGTTGAGGTGTACCATCTGGATTGTGAGGTTGTTTCCTGTTCACTTCAATATGATCGATTGCAACCTAAAGTAGAACTGATATTGATCGTCGTTATTGTTATCATTGGTGGGTGCATAACGTTGGATAGCATTCATTGTGATACTCTCCTTCTTTGTTTTGAAAGATGGTTTGATGATCCTGGATCCATGAGATTTCATTCCTATAAGTGCGATTCGTGCTTCCTTGGACAGCATCAGAGCACCTGCCTCAGTGTGTAGAGCATTTTCTTCGTAGTGACCAGAGTACAGCAACAGCTCTCCCGCAACTGACCTTTGTTGTCCAGCCTAATTCTAATGAGTTTCGCTGATTCCGACTTCTACTGAGTTGTATCTCATCGTTTCCGCAGCTATTCGATTGGTCCCTCCGATCGCCTATATTGTCCGGATATCCCATGTACCCATGTTGATTGTCGTTCTGGTTGTTAGAAAGGGAATCAGTTTCGTCAGTTCCTAATAATCTCTGCCTTGGTCATGAGACGTTATAATTGTTCCTTGAACTTGGAGGTCAGAGTTTAAATGGTTTATTTTTTTGTTTATTCTGATTGTCGTTTTTTAGGTAAGTTGTTTCCTACGGCATGGGGTTGACGACCCTATGCCGAACCCTCCTGCTTTATCAGGACTTGGGACCGGCAGTAATTTCAGAAGGGCCACAGGCAGAGTTATGAGTACGATCATATCACGGGAATTGTTCCCGTATTGTAATTTCAGTGAATTTGAAGTTAGTTTATATTTAAAACGTTACTTACTTACTTACTTACGCCTGTTACTCCCAATCGAGCATAGGCCAC